TTTGCTTATCTGCAACATAAACCAATGTAAAATAGAGTTAGTACTGGAAATTCACAGCAAACACAAGTTAACTGGCAGAACATATTCACACAATTTCATACCTGAAATGAAGGTTAACTCTAGTTCATCTTGTGGAGTTATTGAAAGATCCCTCCTTAATTGCTCTAAAAACCAAGTCCAGAATTCCTTTGTCTCCCCTTCTACATAACTCGAACTAACCCATTCCTTTTGTTTATTGTTCTTGTATTTTTGGGAAATTAATATTTTTGTAGTATTATTTCATTTACAATATCTACAAACAAAGAGCAGGAATAAAATCATAATCACAACTATTAGAGAAATAATTTTAAGTGCAATAAGAACAAATTAAGGACAGCCAATATTAGTGAATAGATTACTAGAACCCAATTCCTTAGTATATATGGTATTTAATATAATAACCCATTTATTTTATAGGAGATTTAGATCTTTATACATAAAGAAATAGTCAAATATTACAAAACATAAAATATCAAAAATTAGAAAATTTTAAGTGGTATAAAGAAAATTTTCTTATGATAGTATTTACTCTACAAAACCCATATGCTTAACATTAGAAAGAAAAATTTATAACAAACCATGAATCTCTAGTGAGATTGTACTAATAATAATTTGCCCATCAAATGACAACCAAATAGTGACTTTATCAAGTATATATATGCAATTAAATAAATTAGGAGGGAATTTAGGAGCGAAAATATTATGAGGGGTAAGAAGAGTTTTCCTTAAATAAATTATATAATGAAAATAAAGCTAAAATTGTAAAGATAAAAAAATAGAAATAATAAATAATAAATACAATATAAACAAAAAAAAAAAAGTAAAATCTTTAAAAATTTTCATATGTACAAAAAGGAAAGCATAATGTACAAATTATTACATTTAAGTACATTAATTAATACTTAACAATGTTAATAATTTAGATTTTTTTAAAAATGAAAAGAGAAAAAACGTAGAATAAAGTAAATATAGTGTAGAAGTTATATATTGGTTACATTAATATATTTTTTCATTTTGTTAATATCTTTACCATTATTAGATTTTATATAATTTAAATTTAAGGGATAAGAGATAAGATAAGATATGTTTATAGTACAATTATATGTAAGATATGTACGAGTTGTAAAATTCTTTCAAAGACAAATATACAAAAATAAAATTTAATAGCACATTGTCATCAACCACTAGCTCCGGCTTTCATATGTGAATGGGATCTTCGTAAGCACTGAAAATTACAACAGCTTCGAAAGGGTTTTCATCTAATGCTCTTTCCCTAGCGCGAAAAGGTTCATCTCACTGATTTGGAATATTGTGTTATTTAAGTTTATCTATAATAATGCAGTATGCTTTTCACTACTTGTGGTTACTTCTTTATTTATTTATTTTTTTTTTTTTTTTTAGTGTAAGAGAGAATATATGGTTTATAAGGTCATGGGTTACACTAATTAATTGACTGAATTCAGTTTTTTTTTTTTTTTTTTTTTTTGACCCATGTGCATTGCAAGGTGGACACAGTTCTATGTTCATAATTAATGAACTCTATGTTCATAATTTTTGAACTTTATATTTACAATTATTGAACTCTATATTTACAATTACAAAACTTTATGTTCATAATTATAGAACTTTATGTTCATAACTCTATGTGCATACTTATAGAACTCTATGTTCATAATTTTTGAACTCTATATTCACAATTATTACTAAATAGGCCAGGCCTAACCAAGCCCAAAATAGGCCAAGTCATAGGCCCCTACAAAAGGGGCCCAACTTATTTCCACCCATACGTGACATCCAAATCAATAACCTATTTGGAAGTTGAAGAGACGATGCAAGTGTTGGGATTACCTGAGGTGGCAAGAGCTACCATTGAGGCAAATGATGAGGATTCTTGGTACCTTAGGAACTTAGCAAGTCTTGAACAATTTCCTTGATTTCTATCTATTTTTATTCTGAAGCTTTCGGCAATTCTTCTTCATATGCCCTGGTCTCTGACAATAATGACAAATGATCATATTTGACTGCTATCCATGAGGATCCCTACAGTGATAAGACGACTTCCCAGATTCCATGTGATAAGACGACTTCACAAACTCCCCCTTAGATTTCTAGCTTACAAAGACGCTACTCGACTAAGGAGGTTGAAAGGTCTCTGTGTGTAGTACTCTAGAGATCACATCAGATAGGGATTTGAGCTCCTCACTTGACAATAACTGGGATTTGCTGGTTCTAGCCGATGATGGAAACCAACCAAAAAACTCATGATGGCTATCTGTTCTCGCTGTTTTTGCTGTTTTTTTATATCCGACGTGAATGACATTAACTCATTAAGGGCATCATAAGTTTTATTGAATTCCATAAAATAAGTATACAGAGGTTTGTCAAGCATTTTGGCTCAATAAAAAACCTTACAAACATCATAGATTCGAATAATGTTGCCCTTACCCGAATACAAAAAATTAAGATAATCTAATAGCTCTTTGACAGTTTCATAGTGACTGACAAAACCAAAAATATCAGAATCAATTGAGTTCCGTATTTGAAGAAATAACTTAGCATTATCGTGCAACCAAGTTTGGTTATTTTTGTCATCCTCAAGTGGGGTTTTCAGTCCTATGGATATTATATTATTGTCAATACTACGCAGATATATTTTAATGGTTTATTTTCATTCCAAGTGATTTGTATTTTGTGATTCTTGCATTGACAGAAGAATATCAAACACAACTAGAGACTTATTCTCAGTCATTATGCTACCAAAAAAAAAAAAAAAAAAAAAAAGATAACCCAACCACACAGACCAAACATACTGTAGGCACTAGAACAACCACACTGTCAACCAAAATTAATACAGACAGATATTACCGAGACCTCCAATGCCAAAACTGAGCCTAGAATAGTGTTGTGGATAGGCGGGTGACCCTGGGAAAGGAAGTCGAAGTCAATTCCGGCTATGGAATAGAGTTCACGTGTCAACGCGTGGGGTGCCAACGACTAACGGTGGCGGCGTGTGAGGGCCACGCTCCGGGCAAAAGCCCCCTAAACTTGGCAGCCCGGCCAATCGGCAACCGGTGACTCCACTAGTGCAGATGGTGACAATAATAAACGGCCGGCGAAACCCCCGACCCAAACTTCTACCGTAAGCGCAGAAGAAGAAAAAAAATCATTACTTTTTTCCTTCAAACTTGGAGGTCTAATATTATGTCAAATGGAGATTCCATATGTTTTTCATAACTTTCAGACACAAGAATACACATATTTATACAAAATATATATGCTAACGTAAGGATTGAAATTAAATCCCTAAGAATATATGTACAGTAATTTCTAATATATGTTAATATATTCTTACCATATATAATGTCTCACATACATTATAGTTCAGTTAAGTGACTTTGGCCCAATCTTGGAGGAAGAAAGACAAAATGATACATTTCAATTTTGTCAAAGCCTATCATGATGTCGAAATTTGATTGTGAGAGGATATGAAAGATTTTATGCCCATTCATGATTGTTGCTTTGCTTCATGGAGATGTGCACCTTTTGTCTCGTATATCCACAATATCTCTAGCTTACAAGATGGCTAGTTATTTATTTATTAAAATATTTCATAGATGTTGGCATCATATCCATATGTAGACATTGTTGAAAAACTCGCTATGCGCTTTTCTGGTGCTAGTGGACGCCTAGACGGCAATTAATCGCTACTTAGGTGTTTGTGTATTTTTTTACTTTACAAAAACTTGTTTAATTTTTTAAAACTTGATAATTATAAACTATTTATTATTATTATTATTATTATTATTATTATTATTATTATTATTATTATTATTATTATTATTATTTTTATTTTTATTTTTATTTTTATTTTTTTTTTTGAAAAACCAACGAGAGAGAACTTTTATTAAATCAACGAGACAATACAAACCAACAAACAGGATCAATATATGAACGTGCTGCCGTAGCCAAGATATGTGCAGCATTATTCACTGATCTAGAAATAAACTGAATAGACACTACTTCAAAGTGTCGTTTTAAATCCCGACATTCTCAGAGAACACAACCTGCGAAAAAAAATCGTGCAAAGTGTCATTTAGCAGGTTACACACCATTTGACAATCTGAATGAATAACCACATGCTGCAGATTATTTTCTTTAATCCAAGATAGGGCCTCTTTGACCGCCATAGCTTCTGCAAGATGTGCGTTGTTTAAACACCGCAGGGGACCACTTTTAACAGCAACATACGAGCCATTACAATCCACCACAACCAGTCCAAAGCTAGCTTCATCAGAATTTTGAAACACTGCTGCATCAACATATATGTTATGCGCCAACCCCACAGTCACTGGTGCATGTGTAATCGCAAGAGGACCACCATTAACCAACGTACTTGCAACCACTCCTAAACCATCACGCCAAAGATTTATAAGACTATCCACTTCATGCATGATTTTTATTGGCTGCCAAGGAGCCTGATTTCAGACAGTCTCATTCCTCCTACACCAGATAGCCCAACAAACAGCAGCGTATGTTATTTTTGCAGGTGGAGATCCAATAACAAAGCCATTTGATATCCATGCAACAAAATCTTCAGAAGCTTATGGGAGGCTACAACCCATATAATTCGACCAAATGGGGGAGACCAACGGACATTCACAGAAAACATGCAATAATGTTTCTGGTACTTGGTGGCATATGGGGCAAGAAGAGTCAGGTTCCACATGCCTTCCCACTAGAGTAGATAAAGTCGGGAGCACACCATTCATACAAAAATATTAAATATTAACCTAAAAAATATGTAGAGTTTGAACAATTTAAAGATTATTTCACTCAAAACTATGTTGTTTTGAGTGAAATAATCCATTTTAAAAAGAAGGGAATGTAGGGTGGACCTGATTAATTACGTGGTTACTTACCATTCTGCCAGTTGACAAAGCCCAAGGGCAATGGGAATATGCCTGATCTCAAACATACTATTTCAGCATTTCATTTTAATTAGCGACCATATTTCTCTGACTGTAAAGATATTATAAAGTTGAAAATGAAATCTGGAGTGTTGGGATATCTCTACATATTAATAATCAGTAGCCATTTGCATTTTACAACAGGCACTTTGGATACATAAATGAAGTGCAGAATGTGCATTTGCCTATGTTTCTGCTGCATTCACATGATCGTCTCAGGTTTGTGCTTGTCTTTGAAGTTGTTCCTGAACAATAAATGTATCATGATTTTAGCAAAACACCCTAACTTCAAGTTGTACATAAAATGTCTGATACCCATGCCTTATAACCCCAGTTGGCAAAGGACAAGAAGGAGGTAAACCAGTCTAAGTTGTCTTGACCGGTTCACCTTGTGACCCTAATCGGTAAAGGACCACAAGGAGGTAAACTAGTCTAGATTGTCCAAAGTTGACCAGTTCACCTTGTGATCCTAGTTGACAAAGGGCTACAAGGAGGTAAACCAGCTTAGGTTGTCCATAGCTGACCGATTCACCTTGTGACTCTAATCGGCAAAGGACCACAAGGAGGTAAACTGGCCTAGGTTGCCCATAGTTAACCGGTTCACCTTGTGACCCTAATCGGCAAAGGACCACAAGGAACCAGCCTAGGTTGTCCATAGCTGACCAGTTCACCTTGTGATCCTAGTCGGCAAAGGACTACAAGGAGGTAAACCAGCCTAGGTTGTCCATAGCTGACCGGTTCACCTTGTGACTCTAATCGGCAAAGGACCACAAGGAGGTAAACCAGCCTAGATTGTTCATAGCTGACCGGTTCAAATCAAGAAGGTTGGGATTCGAACTCGGGGCATTGTAGTCGTTACAAGTCTATATCCTTAGCCATTTTGATTAGGGTAACCCCAAATGTTCTGCGGTCTTACGACTAGACAAAGATGTGAAATAAAGCAGAGAGCTCACCTCATTCACAAAGAAGGCATGGAATCCATAAGGAACTCTGTTGGGTAATTCAACAACTGCAACTGGCTCAGCTGACATTGTTTTTGCATCAATTACATTCACTGCTGATTTCCTGATACAAGTTATGAGACAACATAAATGATTTTTTCAACATGTTTACACTTCAAAAACACAAAAACAGTGCCATTGCTGATGGTTTAGTCAAATCCAAATGCAAAAACAAAAAGGTGGTTGAAGTGAATGTACCCGGTGTTCTCATCGTGCACAAACAATATCAAGTACCCATCATCTTCTTCACATCCGGTACTCGCCTCCCGGGGCACAAAGATAGCCTCTGAACCAAATCGCCCCGGGCCTAAGTCGAAGATGCCTTCAACATTCCCTCCAACTTCAAGCTTTGTTTTCCCTGTCTCTGGCTCAGCATGCAAGTCAAATTTGACTATCCCTTTAACCTTGGCAAGGTCACTCAACATGGTTGCGTATACGTATCGTTGCTTCCTGCATTTCAACAACACCGGATCGAGAGCTCTCTTCTAAAAACTAGTTTGTTTGAACTCTCGGAAAATAACAAGGGGGGTACTATATATACCTGCCAGTGTAATTCTCATTCACTCGTGGAAAATCAACTGCAGATTCTGATAACTTTTTCTGGGAAGCAAGACCTGTTTTCATGTTAAACCTCATTTCGTACCTGACAAGTCACAAGTATGGCCGAAATTAGGGATAGAGGAAGCAATAAGTAGGATCAGGATTAGCAGAGGCCGGTGAAGGACCAAGTCCAGCACTAGGTGGCAAGGGATCGAGATTGTTATGCGGAAGCCTGAAGGGCTAAGTCCAGCACCAGACCTCTTGAAAATGTGACAGTATAAGGAAATAAAAAAGTTGCGCCTTCGCTACAAGCTATAGCTTTTGGCGTAGTGATAAGTACTTGATCCTAATAAAAAACTCAGACAGAGTTGACGTACAGCTCGTTTACGAAATCAAGGGAGTCTTTGAGAGTTCCACTAGCCATGTCTAAATCTGGGTTTTGGATGCGGCAGCTAATCATAACAACTTCATCTCCCTCCTCCCATGCATTGGCTAGTAAACAAGTCAAAAAGGAAAGCTAAAATGCTGAGTTTATATTATGGTTACATGTAAGTAAATAGATTGTAGACTCTCACCAGTGTGAAATATGAAGCAGTTGGGAAGCTCAAACCATTTGATGAGGAGTTCATTCTTCGCATAGCGTGGGAGGACTCCAAAACGTGCCTTTTTGGTAGCATCAAATTTGTACGCAAGTTGCTTTTTTGTCACCATCTCCTGAACTTATAATGGAACTAAATCAGGAAACTTAGCTATATACTAGACGCAACTTTATTTCTTTATACCGCCACATATTTTTGAGAGACAGGGTGTTGGACTTGGTTCTTTACCGGCCTCTGTCTAATTACAATTCTCCGACTTGGGTCTGATATTCCTTGTTAGGATCAAGTGCTTACCACTACACCAAAAGTTATAGTTTGTAGCGAAGACGCAATTTTATTTCCTTATACCGCCACACGTTTTAGAGAGGTAGGATGCTGGACTTGGTCCTTCAGGCCTCCGCCCAACAATCTCCTAGCCATCGGGTACTGGACTTGGCCCTTTACCGGCCTCTGCCCAACAATTTTCCGACCTGGGTCTAATACCCCTTATTAGGATCAAACATTTACCATTAGGCCAAAAGCTATAGTCAGTGCCTAATAGCGATGGTGCAACTTTATTTTCAAATACCGTCACATGTTTTAGAGAAGCAGGGTGTTGGACTTGGCCTGAACTTGGCCCTTCATGCCTCTGTCCAACAATTTCCCTAACCACCGGATGCTGGACTTGACTTTTTACCTGCCTCCGCTCAGCAGTGTTTGTGTTACTTTCTAGATTCAATACTCCTTTTTTCATTAAAACTCAACAGACATTGATGTCACAAAGAATCACATTGAAAAAGAGAGAAAAAAAAAATCAGAAAACTGGCAAACCACCTTTGGCTGGAAGTAAAGAGGCAGATCCATGAAAATTGCATAGTTTTCAGTAATAGCAAAATCATGCATCATTACAGATGCTGGTATTGTTATTGGAACTGGATCATGCATTAACCCGTCCTTTGATATAACTCTGTATGTCACAAACGGGGCTTTTTGCGCATAACCGAAGGTAAACATCTCTCCTGCATCCAAAAATTACAAAGTGATGAAGCCAAGACAAATATTTTGTCACAAAAGAAATATATGCAGTTCATCATGTATCAATTTTGTATCCCTGATTAACCAGCTTAGTTGGCGTGAGTGGCCGTGCACTATTATCCCTTAAGAAAGGTTGGGAGTTCAAACCCCCTAGCCTGATTCAGGGATTTTTGTATCCCTGATGCCTAAAACCTATAGCTGATAGCAAAAACGTAAATTTATTTTCTTATAGACCGTCGTTACATTTTCGAGAGGCACGGTGCTGAACTTGGCCCTTTACCGATCTCCACCCAACAATTCCCTTAGCCACTAATTCAATGCTGGAAATTATAGAATTTCTAACCACCTGAAAGTGATCTTAAATGAAGTCGAAAGCCTTGTTCCGACCACTTTTGGTATTCGGAAAAATCTTTATTGCTATTTCCGATCACTTTTTGCTTTTGACTTGATTTAAGATCACTTTCAGGTGGTCGAAAATTTCATAATTTTCAGCAGTGATTGCTAGACTTGGCCCGTTACCGACCTCTGCCCAAGAGACTGCTCATAGCATTAACCCCCAAGACTAATGTTTACATAATATTATACAATCATCTTCTCAGTTAACTTATATTTATAAGCAATGTATAATTAGCATTATTGTGGCATTATTCTTACCAGTTACTGGGTCAACCTTTGGATGAGCAGTGAATGCATGTCCCAATCTTTTGTCATAATCCAACATGCCAAGTGTTTGTAGATCACCATCCTCCAAAACCTTAATTGCATCTATAGAATATGAGAAGCCACCATTAACACAATTAGAAGGAAAAAAAACAGCAATAAACTTATTATGTGCTTCTATCAGGGGCTTCTTAACCACAACAACAAACATACAACAGAGAAAGCTAATACAGTGTTGGCATTGCCAAGCCTAGAGTATGTTTAAGAAACAAGAAAACATTCAGATTGTTGGGCGGAGGCCGGTGAAAGACCAAGTCTAGTAATTGGTGGCTAAGGGGATTGTTGGGCGGAGGTGAGTGAAGGGTCAAGTCCAGCAATTGTCTCTGGAAAATGTGATGGCGGTATAAGGAAATAAAGTTGCGCCTTTGCTGTGAACTATAGCTTTTGGCATAGTGATAAGCGCTTGATCTTAACAAATGGCATTTGAGCTAGGTCAGGTGCTTGGGAGGGGGAATTTTGGGCAGAGACGAATTGAAGTGTCAAATCCAACAATTGGTGATAGTGGTAAGCACTTGATCCTAAACAAGTGGTGTCTAAGTAAGAGTAAAAATTGTGCACTTAAGACTGGCATGTGTTGGGAGGAGGAATTGTTGGGCGTAAACCAGTGAAAGACCAAGTTCAGCACCCTGTAATATAAGGGTTTGATCCTAACACAAATAAAAGATAACGTAGAATATGGAAGAAAGGAGGCGTACGGCTTACATGGTTTATCTCCCTCGTGAAGTGCCAAAAGCTTCCCATCATGATATATTAGAGCTGTATTGGCTGAAAGAAAGTGAAAAATTCTTGCAATGAGAAATAAAGCTATAGCTATTCCATCAATGTGGACAGGAAAAGCTGTGTTGGACCAAACTGCAAACCCACCATGACCCCCCACATACCTGTTCCATTCCCATAAGAATTATCGAGTACTTTTAGCTTGATTCTCAGCATTTGCAGGTAGACTGTGAGTAGTCCAAACATCCCTTTTAGATCCCCAATCTGCAGATGTTGTGTCACTTGATAGTGCAGTAGAATAAATAAAACGAGGAAAGTGAAGGGAAGTAGATTATACTTGCCTTCATAAACTTTGCTCTTCCAAAAAACTCTTCTTGTTTAAGACGTGATGTCTTCACAAATCGTGACACATACGTTGCTTTTCCATCTTTAATGCGCAAGCCATGGATCATTCTGCAAATTGGAAATTCATCTCTTAAAGTCCATATTGAAAATATAAGCAATTATTATGGCAAATTATGCTGTGCATCCGCATGGTGCACACGGATGCAAAAATGACGTCGTTTTGAATAAAAATACGCGTCCCACTTTAAAAAAAATTCAGTTTCGATTCCCCGACAATAACATTATGTTGTGCATAATTTGAACTATATATCCAGAATCAATGAACTAAAAATCTAGAATCAATGAACTAAATATCCATAATGAATGAACTAAATATCCAGCATGAATTAAAAAAAAAAAAAAAAAAACCAGTTTCGATTTCCGTCTAAATATCCAGAATCAATGAACTAAAAATCCAGAATCTATGAACTAAAAATCCAGAATCAATGAACAACATAATGTTGTTGAGGGGAATCGAAACTGATTTTTTTTTTAAGTGGGACACGCGTTTTTAGTCAAAACGACGTCGTTTTTGCATTCGTATGCACCATGCATGGTGCACACGGATGCAAAGCATAACGATTGAATTGTTATGCAGTGGACCATGATCCATACAACCCTATGTTACCATTGTCTAATACGATTGTCAGATTAAACTTGTAGTTACATCCTCCCAAATGCTCTGTCGGGCGGGGTGTGGGGGGCCCTTAGGGTTGGGGATTCAACCTTTTGGGAGAAGATTAAACTTGTAGTATGTAATGCAATCACTATTGCGTGGACCGTGGTTCACGCAGCTGTGTGGATTACAATCCACAAACATATAAAATAAATTATTCTAATACATAAAATACATTATCTGATCGAAATTTCATTATTTTAACACATAAATTTCATTATACATTATTCTAGCTCATAAAATACATTATTCTAACTCATAAAATACATTATCTTACCCCAAAAATTTCATTAATCTAACACATATAAAGTACATTATTCTAACTCATAAAATACATTATCTTATCCCAGAATATTTATTATTCTAACATGCGCGCGACGGAATAAATTTTTTAACATAAAAACGACATTGTTTTGGACAGTACACAATAATTTGGATAATGGGCAAATTTTACTGTGGACCATGGTCTATATATCTTTTAACTACATTTCAGTTTCATTTGACAATATTGTTATGTTTTTTAGTTTCACTTTCCCTCCACATTAGTTTCATTATAGCAATACTAAAGTATCATTTTAGTTCTACTATGGTTTCATTTGATAATATACATTATTGCTTGAGCTCTATTTTTTTTTTTTTTTCATTTTCACACACACTAGTTTAATTATAATAATGTCGAAGTATTATTTTAATTGCACTTCAGGTTATTTGACAATATATGTTATTGTATGGCTCTGGATTTTAATTTTATTTTTCACGCACACTAGTTTCATTATAACAATACTAAAGTATCACTTTAATGATACTACATTTTCATTTGACAATAATGTGCTCTAGTTTTTAGTTTCATTTTCCTCACACTAGATTCATTGTAGTAACGCTAAATTATTATTTTAATTCTACTACAATTTCATTCGATGATCATGCTGTGTGGACTATGGTCCACTATGTAACAACTGTATGTAATGCACATTATTACCGGTTAAATGACATTGACCATATATAATGACCATGGACTAATTAATTACATTTAATCTTTTAGTGTGATCTGACTATGTACATTATTACCGGTTAAATGACATTGACCCAATCAATTGCACTTCTTCTCCATAAACAAATTAAATGAATTAAAATCTGCTTCGAATAAGCAAAGGAGTATGAAGAAAAGAACTTACCCATCTCCATCAAACCTGCAAAAATGGAGAACAAGGATAAGCTTTGGAACGGACAATAAAAATTTGATCCTTTTATCAGTACGTGAGAATACAATATGTTGATGTTCATGAATACTTTGTTTATATTTTCAAAAGCTTAGGATTATAAAGCTCTTATTGAGAATATATTTGACTACAAAGAACCATACCAATGATATCCAGCCACAGGAGCAAATTTTGGGTTGGGACCAACCCTCACAAACTCACCATTCAGGCATTCCTACAATGAAAACACATACATTCTACTAATTACTCTAAGGCTAATATTCATATTATATTGTCATTTGAAGTAGTGAGGGACAAGAGGAAGGCAAAAGATAGTAGCCTTAGAGCATCTCTAATAGAGTTTTTGAGATAATTTTTTAGGCTTGGAGTCCTATGTGGAAGTGAGAGAAAGATGAGAGAGAGAAGGTTGAACTCTGACAAGAGGGATAAGTTTTTGTCTCTTAATGTGGGCCCCACCAAATAATTAAAAAGAAAAAAATGGTAGCTGGTGCGCTTCGCGCCTCGCTGTGGGCGCGTGTAATTCTGGCACGTTGAGATGGTTGCTTAATACTTTTTTTTTTTTTTTTTTTTTTTTACTCCATTCTCTTTTTTACTTGACTCCTAAAAACTTGTACAAAAATTAAATTATTGAGGATGCTCTACAACCTTGCTGGCCAAAATGTACAAGTGTAGGCCAAAATATAAGATGAATAATAGCATGATGTGTATATATTTCATATCATTGGGGCGTTAAGACAATGGGATCAAGTATCAAGTGATCACTAAGTAATCCTGTAATTTGTTCATTTACACTTCTAAGAATTGCTATTCATATACTCCACTTAAGGGTGTGTTTGGTTCATGGAATTAGACACAAGGGAAGAGAATGAAAGTTATACAGATTGTTTGGTTGATAACTTTTTAAAACGCAGATATAAGATTTGATTACCTTATAAGTACAAAATTCATTACCTAATTTAAATCAGGTTTCAATCCATTAATTCAGCTTTATCCCTCCTCATTTCATCGCCTCCCCACTCATCTCTCCTCACTTCATCGACTTTCTCACTACATTTCCTACACACTTCATTGCCACTCTTAAGATCAATTGTCTTGATTTTTTGTTTTTGTATTTTTAAAACTTTTATTCTGATTATAGGTTATACATAACCAAACATCAATATTAATAATCATTCAAATTCCACCATATTATCACAAGATACTTTCACCAAAATCCATTAATTACTTATAAATATTTAATTCTCATTCCGATTTCGATTCCAATTCCAATTCTGCTTCCCATGTTCGAACCAAACAGAGCCTAAATTACAATGGGACTAATCACTTCTCACTGAAATGCCTAAATTCATTACATTATGATATCAACACTAGCTCAAACATTCTTCTTTAATTTACTGTCCCAAAGAAAAATTGTCCACAAGTTTTTTTTTTTTTTAATGCATTTTAAAGTAACATCTACTTGTATTAAAAACGCTACAAATAATTTTACTTTAATACATTACCCATCTAGTAAAAGTGAACAAGTTACCCAATTTTAATGAGGAAAATATTAATTAAAATGTGTTTTTTCATATACAATCCTTAAAATATAGATCTGCACTAAATAAGAGAATTTATTCTTGGACTGATGAAGATTTGAACTTATAGGTTACAATCTAGATTATATTTTCTAGTGGAGGAATAAATAAATAAATAAAATCATGTTGAAATGAGAATGAGAAGTGTGGACAAATCGCGCTTATCTTGGGTGATCTAATGCGTATATCCAACTTCAGCAATCTAACGGCTAGAAAATTTTAAAAAATATGCAAGGACCTTTTTGTAATTATTTAAAAATACGTTATGCACTTGGAAAAACTTGATACTGTATCCGTGGATAACTAAGAGTGCACTCAACTTGAGTGGACTATTAGTTGTCGAAGGATGCACTATCAAACTTTTCCAAGTGCACAGACAAAGTTTGTAATAATTACAAAAATGACACTACATTTTTTACCTTTTGTTTCCTTATTTTTCAATCATTAAATCAATTGTTATACCATGGATCAGGGTCTTCCTTACATTGTGGATCTTGGTCCAAAAATTATGTGTCTGCAATTAACATATTATGTGTCTTCAATTAATAGATTATGTGCATGTATAATATGTTAATTGCAGACACATAATATGTTAACTACAATCACATACTCGAAATGTCATTTTGGACCAGGGTCCACAATGCAAGATGAACCCTAGTCTATGGTATAATTTGCCTCGTTAAATCTACTAGATCAATTACTAGCATTTGCCCATACTTCTCATGTGAAACCTTGTTCTCATGAAAGTTAAAAAGTGAGGATTGATCTGATAGATCCATCCATTTAGATAGACCAACGGTTGAGGATTGCTAAAAAATAAGGTAAAAGAGGGGGTCAATTTTATAAATATTACAGACTTAAAAGTTTGCAATAATTATAAAATTAACTCCGTATTTTTTTTCTCTAAAACCTTCAATCATTGATGAGCAACTAAGACCAATCTTCACTTTTTACAAGATCGAGGAAACTGTTCTCAATTGGATCAAATGAGAACTGGTGCAGGCCCACGACCCCACGTAGAAACTACAAACTCATCCTAATTGTTGATCTCGATCGGAATGATCAAGGACTCTAAAACAAGGGAAAAATGTGGTAGCATTTTGATAGATATATTAAACTTTAAAGTGTACCGACCTACACTACAAAATACATTGAACAATACTACTAAGTGCATCCAATAATATGTGAAGTGCAACCTCTTGAGTGCACTCCCACATATAGACGAATGCACTTTGTAGTTGTGTGTGATGCACCTTAAAGTTTAAATTATTTACTAATATGACATGACATTTTTTCTTCCTTTTTTTCCTTGTTTTAGAGTTTTTTTTTTAATGCTACTGACTTTATTATATTGTAGTATCTGTTCAAATGTATTTTCTCAACCTAATAAAGCACAAAGAGTCAACAACGCATTCACTGAGTCTCGAGTCAACAACGCATTCACTGAGTCTCGATCTCATGACCTCCCATATAAAAGAGGTCACTACATGTCATTTGAGTACAATGTGCTTGGCCCTTTAGAGCTAATTGCTAAGATTAGTTACATTTTTTACATGAGAAGTGTGTTTTCGCACTCTTGGAAGCGGTTTTTTTTTTTTTTTTCCAAAATTTATAATTATTAATTAAATTTATAATAATTTTATACATTTGAGGGGTTTAATTAAATTATAAATTATAATAATTGTAATCAATTACAAATGATTTTAAAAAATTGGAAAAATCTTGAAATTAAAGTGAAGATTTTAGAAATTTTTGAGATAGTAAGGGTATGTTTACCAAAATTTCAACATGTTATGCATGAAGTATGAGAAGAAATAGCAAATGCGCTATGGGGGATTCTAATAAATGAAGTTTGGTGTATTTTATTTTGTAATCAAACTATGTACTAAAATTATTGAAATAATTGTAATTTATTTAGTAATATGTTTTATTAACTTTTGTTACTTTTTACATATTTAGTATTAGTGTGTTAAATTTTTTTATTTAAAATTTGAATTTGTAAAATAAAATCCAAAAATTAGAGAAATAAAAAATAAAAATTAAAAAATGAAAAAAATGAAAAACAAAAAAATGAAGTAAATGAGTCCTAAAAATTCATGTTTGTTGGAGCTCACAAAAAAATAAGAATCTCAACCATTAAGGATGCCTAATAAATGTTTTTAAGGATACAATACATTATTATTATTATTATTATTATTATTATTATTATTATTATTATTATTATTATTATTATTGAAGTATTAAAATAATTCCAATATGGTCTTAGAATGACGAACTGCCGAAACATGTATGTAAGAAGAAATAGAGCTGTCAAAACAGGCTTAACCCGTCCCGTCTCGCCAAATATGGGATGGACTTTGAATGTTATGATCTGTATTTTGGTGGGCTTTTTAGCTCACTCTGTCAAAATAACGGACTTTGACATGGTGGGTTAGGTAGGCCGACCTTTCTTAGACCCAGTCGTTATATTATAGACCGCGGTGCATGTGCACCGCGGTCAAAACGACACCGTTTCTTTAAGTAAAGAAACGGCCCGCCGTTAGAGTTAACGGAGTCCGCTTATTTGGTGCATTAAACACCAACTAACACTACAGTATATCCAAACCGACACTACAGTTATATCAAAATGATACTGTAGTTATAGTGAAATGAAACTGCAGTGTATATAAACTGAAACTGGATAACATTTCACATATTTGAGTGTATATTGTACAATGAAGCTGTAATTATATCAAAATGATCATGTAGTTGTGTTTTAATGAAACTATAGTGTATATAAAATAAAATTAAATAACATTTTCACATATTTGTGTCTATAAATATCGAATGAAACTATAGTTATATCGAAATGAAACTGTAGTTGTGTTCAACTGAAACTGCAGTGTATACAAAATGACACTGAATAACAGAGTTACTTTTTGCAAAAGAGTGCGAAACGGCGGAAACAAACACTGTTAATTTTCATTTAAAAAAAAAAAAAAGACGCGCGGTGCATAATCAATTATGCACCGCAGTGCATAATATAATTTGCCTCTTAGACCCGTATTTTGGTAGCTCGGCTCCGCCATATGGCGGGCTTTGACGGTCCCGTCTCGTCAACTTGTTTCTATAGCTCTAAATAAAAGAAAGCAGTGAAGAAAATTTGAAAGGAAAAAAAAAAAAAAAAAAAAAAAAAAAAAAAAAAAGGAATTATTATGTGGACTTACAGGGAGATGACCAATAACAGGAAGGTCCTTAGACGGAGGAGTCTCTTGAGTGGGACCAAAATTACCAGAAAGATAATGGAGCGCCGATGAAGATGAAGAATCATGCATTAGCTTCACTAACACCCACTCCAACCACTCTATGCCCTTCGCAGCAATGCCATTCCTCGGCTTTGGATTCACCGCCACCACCGCCGCCCCTCCCCCTTCCCTCTCCGCTTCTCCATTCTCAGCTAATTTCTTCCCCATCTCTCTCTCTCTCTCTTTCTCTCTCTCTACAACTATGAATTGCATGCACATATATGTACTGAAACACACAGTGCAGAACAGGTAGATTAAGTATACGGAATGATGGAATCTGAGGTAATGCTACTGCCCACGTCGTCTCATCTCGCACGCCAAAAACATGGCCTGCCTGCCTGCAGGTCATCTCCTCTTTAATTTTTTTTTTTTTTTTTTCTGTGGCAGAGGAGGGTTTTGAAGGAGGTATCATATGGACAACCAATCAATTTTTCTTTTACAATATCATATTTTTGTTTTTTTTTTGAGTATTAACAATGTAATATCTGTTCATATAAGCACAAAGAATTCGTGTTCCTACCGAAATTCGAACCTATAACATCCCATCTAAGAGAGTCAAAATCATGCTGTTCAACCACAAGATTTTTGGCCCAACTCAACTTGATCTGAAGTTTCAACTAAATTTATTTAATTTTAGCATCCAACTCAACAATTTCGACTCAATTCAACATGACCTGGCGTTTCAACTAATAGGGATAAAAAAAATAGTAAAACCATTTAATCTAACTAAATAAATTAAATATATGTACTTATATTCATCTGTAATTAGTTATTTAGTTAATCACCAATCATTATTATTATTAAGTACGGATTAGCATCCGCATCTCCGTAGTCATGCAGCACACATCATCATAGCATTAATCCATGTTCTCTGCAAATGCCACAAAGGACGCCTCACGTAGCATTTCCTTCATCAACAAATGCATGCTTTCCTACTGCAGCTATAAGCCTAAATATAGGCATGCCATATGTGTGTTGGATCATATGAGAACAAGTAAAGATAACTAAGGTTTTGATTTCGATTCCAAAAATGGTCAAATCGAAATCAAAACCTAATATAAAAGTTCCAATTTTGGTTCATGAACCGATGGTTTCGATTTGAGCCGCCCATTCAAACCAGATTTCTTGAAATTCTATGTTCTATTATAAAATGTTCAAATTCTACCATTAATTTATAATTCTAAATTTTTTGAAAATGCCTATATATTTAGTATAATATATTTATATTTATTTAGTTTTAAATATTTTAATATTATATGGCCTATTGGCCTTAATTGCTGGATAAATCAATTCATGATAAAATCTTTTGGACTCTAATACAAAACATTTTATTAAATAACAATATAATTTTATAATTTTTCACTTTATTATCTAATGATATAATTTTATAATTTTTCATCATTTCTAATATACTGTATTTAGTCTTGGATTGCTTAGTGCTTAGAAGTTACAACATTTCTCTAAACCGAAATCGAAACAGGAACATGATTTTAGCAAACCAAAATCAGAATTGCAAAGTCATTCGCAAACAACCCCATCAGAAACCGCACCATCCACAACCGCACCCAAGCCATCACCGCCACTTACGTGAGCATCATCACCCTAGCGAGCAACAAATTAATGACAAAAATGAGCTAACAAAACCCAAAAACACTATGAAAACCACGTACTACAACTGTAAAGATGGATGCACACAAGTACAATGAGCGAGTGCACGTGATCTGCGCAAAGAACATTAAAAAAAACGCAAGCAAACTCATCAAACTGACCTCCACATCAAACTCAGGACGACAAGTATTTGCCGGGGTCAAGTCCCGCCCCACATCCTCAATATCACCCCACCAATGATCAGCATAATCCTGCGTAATACCCAAACTGAAGGATGGAACATCACCAAAACCAGCCTCCTGCTGATCGGCACGCTGAACGGCACAGACCACTCGAAGCGACTTGATGGCCTCAAACACCCCTCGAAGGACCTCACCATCGAAAGCACCATCCGGCCCTTGCTTGACCAACTCTGAAATTTCTCTCGCTATCATCGTTGTTTTGTGTGATACAACATCTGCAAATGTCTAACCCAACAAAAGGACACAAAGAATAAATAACAACGGACCACAAATCCAAGGACACACAACTTATATGAGCGTTGAGTGCACACACAACAAAAGATGTGAGCAGAATTAAAACATAAACGTAAGTAATCGGCAACCTAAAAAAAGCCATACCATGGGGCCATATTCAACAGGCGAAGAGCAATCAGGTTCAGGCGCATCCACAGAAGATTGCGGGGCATTATCACCTTCACCCGCCCCATCACTAACCTGCACCGGGAGCTCAATGACACCAAGGCCAAACCCACCACCCTTAATCTCGGAAAACTCACGATGACGTAGTAAGGGTGACGACCACCCACGAAGAGCAGGAATAGACTGAGGGACCGCGCGAGCAACATGCACAACCCGATCAACATAAAACAACTAAAAAGAACACAAAGAATAAAAACAAGATCAATTGTTAAGGTATAGTGTGAAAGAATAAAACAACACACAACACGAAAAGAAAAAAGAATAGCAACAATACCGTAATAAACTCAGCAGGCCCAAGGAAGAACTTATGCCGACCAGAACGCCACGCAGCCTGCGTCTCAACCAAAGTGTCCACCACAAGCTTGCACCAGTTCAGGTCGCGCACACTTGACACATCCTCAAAATGATGGAAATACATCTGGTTCGAGTACCCGCTACACATACAACAAACTAACGAGGTCAAGACCAACATAAGAAAATGTCGCTTAAACCAAAGACCACCATCGACCTCTTCAACCATCCTCGCACTAATCTCCGCCGCAGTGATCTTGTGCCCCTGCTTCTGAAATAGACCCCTCCACTGTTTCAGCGTGTTGCTAATCTTAAGCCTATCCCGTTGAAACATATCAACACGTCCACGCGGAAACCCCAAAATCAACTCCGCATCACCCTCATCTACCACTAATGATCTTCCCCCACCGAGATCAAATGACTTTGACTGGGCATCAAAATTATACAACAGCCACCGCAGAAGGCGCGGTGGAATATCCTCAACATTGAACTCAAGCAAAGCCCCAAACCCAAGCTCACGAATGTCAGACTTCTGTTGAAAGCTCAAGTCCTTCAAGGCGTTAACCAAAATCACAGACTGTGCCCTCATCTTCGCTCTAGGATACATAGCATCCTCCTCAACGGTGAGTTCATAATCGGGGGCATCATCCTGTGGTAGTTGTTGCTGAGTCCTGGAATGAATAACCCTAGGCGGCGACACAAAGTCATTATCATCACCAGATATTCCCAAAGGACCGGTATCTGAATGGGCGCGCTTGGATTTTTTAGCTGCAAAACGAGCCAACACGCATAAGTATATGGCCCACCAACAATTCCAAATAAGACTAAATAAGAGTAAAAACTATGCACACATTCACATATAGTACTGCACACACCTAAGTACAAAAATAAGCTAACTAAATACACCATATAGCACAGTCCGAAAGAACCCGTGCACACCAAAAAAAAAAAAAAAAAAAAAAGCAAATGCCACAATCTATTCACACACAGCAACTATATTACTATAATATAATATAACATAATTAATTATTTCTAAACTAAACACATAATCCAGCTCTTTCCTTATGCATACTCTAAGATCATTCCCTTTTTTCGTGAAACAAAAGTATTTTATTAAATGAAATAAAGAAAGAAAGAAAGAAAGATGCAGACTTTGTTATAACAATAACATTCATTATGAAGATGCTTATTAACTGCACCAAATCTTGGCTTGCAATAACCCAAATCTGATGATCTTAGTGCCACTAAATTATTAATGTCATAGACTACAATCATAAGATTTTTAATTATATTCAACCTACGGTTGGAATACTGTATGGCTCTCCCATCTCCATCAAATCAATTCAATGCTTAATTATATAAAGATTATGGAAAATTAATTAAATTGGTTAAGACGATCCTAGAGCAACATTATCCAGTTCTTAAACTCAATTTTTTACCCTTTTGCAGTAAAACTGAATTTTTTTCCTCTCATTAATTCCATCTATCCTCCAAAACGTCTTTTTATTCACAAAATCTTAGCAAAAACCTAAAATTTGAACCAAATGGGTATATCTAATATGATATTGGTGAAAATGGCCGGAGGACTGCACACAGATTACTACACACACCTGAGTACAAAAAGAAGCTAACTAACTACACCATAGAACACAGCGAAAGAACCCTTGCACACACTGAGCAAAAGCCACAATTTATTCAGTCTCCAAGAAATGATATAATAAGCCACATCAGTACAGATTAAAAAAAAAAAAAAAAAAAAAAAAAAAAAAAAAAACAGCAAACAATGCAACAGTATCCCCCTTGCCCACCCACGCCGTCAACCGCCACCACACACAAACAGCTCGGATAACCATGGACCTACAATTTTTGCATCCATCCTAACTTCAATTGCTCAATTGCCGCATCAACACAACAATTTCAAAAAAAAAAAAAAAAAAAAAAAACCCTAACTGTATCCTGCCGCCCTTAAACCCGCTGTGAGCCACCGCCCCACACCCACAAAAACACGCCTATGCCGGAAACAAACATGCATAAGCACCCTCCCCCCACCAGACGCGAAACAACCCCAGAAACCCTACGGCTAAAAACGACGTAAAAAAAACGCAAAGGAGAAAAGGGGCAATCATACCTCGACCTACACGATCAGATCGTGCTCCCCGTCGCTTGTCACCACCGCGGTCCCCACCGGCGTCCATCGTGAAAGTCGCGCCTGACAGCTGCTGATGAAGGAAGTGATCGACGGAGTGGGAGAGGGGCTGACAGCTCGCGAGAGAGAAAACGTAAAAGTCGCAGACAATGGACTCCTCAGTGTAATCCTACTGGAATTGAACCGTCAAAATACAATGAAAACCCCAAAAATGCCCCTCTTAAAATAAAACATGCGACATTAACATTAATCATGCCAAAAATAAATTAAACAAATCTTGGACATCCAATCTCAAAATCCAACGATCCTAATGAATTCACTCGTTTGTATTTTAAGCCTTGTTTGTATTTGAATATATATATATATATATATATATATATATATATATATATATATATATATATATATATATATATATATATATATATATATATATATATCACAATTAAATTTTCAGGTAAGTTTCACTAATTATATAATGTAACATATTTATCAAATTTAGAGTTAATATTTAGCACATTTAAAATAAATGTCCATCCAAGCTTTAAATTATAACTACATAGTATATCAATTGGAGTATTGCAGCGGCTCTCATTAGTCATTGCTAACCAAATTTACAGTCCCAACTAGAGTTTAAGCATCTAAAAAGAGTGCCCAAAACATGCATTCTGAACTTAACTACATAAGAAAACATTCTTTTTTTTTTAAACATTTACATAAGAAAACTAGAAACTCGAAAAGCAACATAGAAATGATGGTCAATGACCTCAACAAGATGGAGAAGTTTGTGAGACCAAAAGAAATAGACCTGTCTGTCTTCTTGGAGAGCTGCAACTGGACCACCCTAAAACCCTGAAATCCTCCAATATACAAGTAACATCCAATCCAATATTAAAATTATCACATTTGCTTTTGAGGGACAAACTGAATTCCTTGTTTTCCTAGTTCTATGTTCTGGGTCTTTCCATCGTCCAAGGTAACAGCAACAACTGAGGTCCCTTCGAAGAATTCTGTTA